ATACACGACTGAGCTGATACCGTGAAGAGACAAGACAACGACAGTTCGAATGTAAGTAGAACAGAGCATGGTCACTTGAAACCGTTTTGAAACTTTAAAAAGAGAGTTAAAAGATATTGATTGACATAACATTGAGTTATGACACTAAATGTAATCAAACCTATTTGTCAAAGGTTTTTTTTAAACAAAATACTGTAGAATATTGTCGTTTCCTACGTTTCTCTCGTGTTCTCTCAGCATCGCGTGTTTAGATCACAGTATACTAAACGAAAAACTGTCATGCAGTTTATATCTCTTTACAACTGATCATATAACAAGCACAAATCAACAAAAAATCAACGAAAAAAATTCTGTTTTATCTTTCATATAAAGGTTCAAATTCGGAGTGCGCCTTGTGCGCAAAAAAAAAAAAAAATGTCAAGAGTGTTTTAGAGTTAAGAAATGTAGAACAGCTTTCCGCTAAAGATACTGTGATCTAAACACTTGGGGTGCTGTGAAAACACTTGAGAAGCTGGAAACCACTCCGCGTATTTTAAGATAACGAATTCAAATTCAAATTCAAAGTGCGCCGTGCGCGCGGAAAAGAGTTAAGTGAGCGCTATAGATACTATCATCTAAAATGGTATTTCGACCAATCAGAGCGCGAGATGATACTCAGTTTTAAAAAAAATAAAGCAGCACTCAAAAAAGAAAACTGTAACGTTTCAGTATCAAATTCTATCGGTTATGTTATGCTAAGAACGTTAATTTAAACGTTAAACGTACCTTTTTGGCTTACTTTTGAAGGACGTTTTCTCTATGCGTTACCTTAACATTTATGAATGGTATGGTAAGGATTTTCAATTAGCTGATTTGAGTGCTATTTAATTTTATGTCTAACCTTTTTATATACAAATTGTGCGGATTACGAACAGTTCGTTGTCTTAACGGATCTTTTATCTTAGTTCAAGCTGGAAAGCGCGGAAAATCTTAGGGATGGTGTGAAATGGTATTGAATGCTGTTGAATGAATGATCTTATTTAAGCCTCGTTTGATGACAGATAAAAAAAAAATAGATGGATGAGTAAATGGAAGGATTTCTTCAATTGATGGCGTAGATTAAACTCCAACCAAACCAAATGTAATGAGCCAGTGTTAAGTTCACCCCCTCCAAAAGTGCAAGCTAATCAAAAGATTTTGAATTCAGATATTTCAGCTCGTATTCACATGCAAAATCTAAATTTCAATGACGGCAATTTAATTCATAGAAAAGAATAGAAAATTTCGCTAAAAGGCTTGAGAAGAATGGAGTAATTGCGCCTTGCGAAAAGAACCGCGAAAAGTAGATCAAAAGATGGCGCTCACCTGATGATGATTAGCATTTAGTATCAAAGTGCTACAGCTGTTCCAAAGTGTTCTCAAAAGAAGAATCTTGGTCTACTTGCCCTAAGTTACTACCAGAAGAAAAACATTGATAACAAAATTGCTATCAGCAGCGAACATGCGTTAACAAAAATATGTTCGATCGAAAAGGCGACACCAATCCTTACTTCTCAGTGCGATGGAAAGATGGTTGAAATATAGAATATAGTTCAAAATGTACGAAAGTTAAAGTACATGAAGGAGTTCAGAAGCAAATCCTACCAGTAGTTTTTGAATTCTTGAAGTGCTCTTATGTTCTTTGTCGGAATCGTAGATTCCCGAGGGAGGGGGGGGGGGGGGTGTGGAATGCTGGTGTGGGCATACCCCATAATTTTACCCAGGATTCGCCCACCCCCCTGGACGTAGTTAAAAGGTCTTAACGAAATATCTATGTATATGGGCCCGTATAATAACATGCGTTAAGGATGTTTCGTAACGTATAGTAATCGACACCTGGGAACCAGTTCTTGAGTTGGCACATTGAAAAGCAGACTCGTTTACTCAGTGTCAGCCTCGAATCAGTGTCTAAATATTCACAAATACGAACGGTAATAAAGAATGCGACATCGAAGGGTAATTTTACTCATGCGCTATAACGAATATCAGATTATTGTTTTATTACGTATTCATATTGCACGAAAACAAGACGCGTTTTAAGCTCAGTGTATAGCGCGCTATGGATTTTCACGCGAATGAACGGATTTTCCTGCACGAAAATAGCACGTTTTTCAGTAAAGAATAACGTATGGCGCGCACTAAGGCGAAAATGGACCGTTTTCTCAAGGTTGCGCGCGCATCCAATCTTAACGAGCCACAAAACTGAAAAACGCAAATTCACTCAAATCGAGAAGCCAGTTTTATATTTAAGAATATTAAAACGAGTCATAAATATGGGAGAACGGAAGAAAATTCGACTTGGATGTAGTTTGTGATGGGTAATAAAAGATCAGGCAAAGACATTGGGGAAAAAAGCAAGTTGACGTGAAACTTAGCCATAATCTCTTGAAATTAAAAAGGAATGAGACAAAATGGGAACTTTAAGACGTCCGTTATCTGAAACAGGAAGAGTTGTAAAATAATCTAGTAGGAATAGGAATGAAAAATTATAAAGATTTAGAGCTGCATTAATATTCTAATAAAAGATACTCCGACGGAAGCCGAAAGTCTTGCAAATAGCAAACTGATCTAGTCTTAGAATTTCCTTAATCCTAAGAATTATCAACAATTAAATGAAAGCACAGGAATAGGGTCTACAAATGTCTCGGATACAAAAAAAAATGTTGCAAAGGGAAAATGATGACTGGAATCTCTTTTGGATAATATTTTTCTCTTTTAATCACTTGAAAATATTTTTGGAAATGTCCTAAATCTTTTTTTATTGCAAACAGAGGTAACTCCATAAACTACGTTCACCCACGTTTAGCGTTATTTAGCTTTTAACTGGCTAGTGTTTGGTTAAACATCACCGATTTTCATTAACACTAGATTGTATTGACCCTTACAATTCGTGTCAATGCGTAGGATGTCAAGCAATTGTTTAACCGTTCGTTTGTTTACTCTAGTCTTAATGCCAATCAAAGTTAGCCTAAACTTTACTGTAAGCTTCACCTGTTATAGTATTCTCTTACGATAAGATTAGCTAATGAATGGGTCTGTAAAACCCCTCAAAATTCTTTCTTTAGCGTTGCAGTATTCTGGCAAATCGTAAAGCAGAACTCACAAAAAAAAAAAACCTGAAATTTTACTCTTTTACTCGTGAGGTGGAGAATTTTTTCTGCCATCCAAAAATTTTTTTGGTTTCAACAAAGGTATACTGATCTTTTTTGATAGCTAGCCCGAATTTCAACTGTTTCCTCAGGGTGTTCTTTTATTAAACTTCCACTGGTATGTCGACAAGTGACGGCCGAAGGTCTAGCTATTCAATGGTATCGTTATCAGTGGAAAAGATAAAAAAAACTATTGCATGCTATGAAGTAAACGTGCGCTAAGTCCTACAACTTATCTTTTAATTGAACAAAATTAATCCATTCGAAAAAAATTCTTTTTTAAAATTAATATTAGTGGTAGCCGAAAGAAAGAGCATTCAGTGAAAATCGAAAAGTTGAGATCAAGCTTGGTTAAGTCAAAGATAAAAATCTTTAAAATCTCTGGGTTTTTTTATCTCTTGTCAGGAACAAAACCGGATTTTTCTTGGATGTGGTTTAATTTAATTTTTTGCTACTCAAACAAACTTGAAATCAAATTTAAAAACTCACATTTTTGACACTGCATAACAGATGAATTAGTGAATTCTGGGTTTTAAACTTTTTCTTGTTAACTCCCGTATCATACACACACTCGTATAAAGTAAAATATACGACTTTAAAGAGGAAAAATTTGTAAAGCCTTTCTATTGTTTGAATACTCGATCGTGATTGGCTAATTTCATTTGTATGAAAATTTGTCGGGGTGGCCTTTGTTGGTGTAGTCGCATAGTAAATGTTAAGGAAAATAGAAAAAAATTCTGTTTGTTTTTCTCGTTCTGTTCTGACAGTGTTATTGATTGTCTGGCGCGTGCGTCCCCAATCCCGGGATGAAGTGACTTTGCTAAACGATTGATAAAAAATTCTGGTTTGGACTAGGTTAATAGTTGGAACAATCATGCGAATGAAAAAATAAAGGGTTAAAAAGTGTTTTTGTATGAGTGCGAAAAACAAGACAAATTTGTAGATCAAAAGGAAAGCCATTTCAATGTTCCTATTCAATGTTGGAAAGCCATTTCAATGTTCCCGTTCAATGTCGGAAAGCCATTTCACTGTTCACATACGATTTACGTGCTTTAAATCAGTACCTAAGTTTCCCACTCATTCGAAACCCTCGCTCATTATTCACGCCATGTGCTAAATGATTAGCCTTGGCGAGTCTAGCTAGTTGGCTTCAGGTTACGTCTCCTAAATAAGCTTTTACGATTTTCATAAAACGACGAGCTGTAACCACTTAAATTTAAAGAGCATGAACCTTCAAAAAATCGAAACAGCCTGTCGTGTTTAACTAAATACGGATTTAGACTGTGCAAATAGTTTGGAGGAAAATTTCAATTTAAAAACGGAAAAATAGCGTGGTTTACGTAAATAATAGTCTGTTTGAGATGCTATTTTATTATGTGGATCTATTGAGCGTCAGGTTGTATTGTGTATCTTTTTAGGAATGAAATAGCCGTGAATCAGCTTGAGCCCCGCTGTAATAACCATGATGACTGAGAAAAAATCATAGTTACATTTCGTAGAAAAATAAGTTTTATTAGTGCAGAAAACATTTGCCAATTCGTCTGCGGAAAGTACGTGTTTTTTTAATGATTTTAACGGCTTAAAGAGAAAAAATGCCTTTCAAAACCAGAAGAAAGGAAAGGTATACAAAATTATTTAGTTTTTCATTCAAAATTACGGATCTAATAGTACAAGACCAAGCTAAATGTTGACTAGCGCGGGAATGCAAAACACCACGCGTTTCCGTCAAGGAAATGAAAGCTATTCTTTGCGCTTCTAAAGAACTACAGCCAAACTGATATTTTGAAGAGTTTTTCTGCCAAAGCAGGATGTGTGTGTGTGAAAACAGACAGTAATTGCCTTTGTTCTGGGAGGTTGTTTGCTAATCAATCGTTCGACAAAAAGAAGTGATCGTTATAAATAAGAGAGGGCACGTGTACGAGTAGAAATCACGAACGCTCATTATTGTAACAGAGGAAGCTAGAGTTACAAACCTAACCAAAGCTCTATAGCACAAGTAAGTGTTCTCAGTCTTAAACTTAACATTTGATTTATATTTATATTAGTGGTACAGTAATTTTGGTTACGAAGATTGAAGATGTTGGTTAAAAGGGTTTTATTGTCATGGTTTGGTACTTAGTAGCGGTTGTTTCAATCTACGGGGTTCAATGGCGGCGCGACGCAGACACGCGCACAGATTAATCAACAATAGCAAAAAATACGAGAAAAAATAGGCATAGAAATTCTGTTGTCATTCCTAATTATATAACTGCTTGTATTAACACCGTAGTTTTTACTGTAAAGCAACTAAGGCTAAATCTCTTACGTTTTTTCATTTTTACAAAATCAGTTTTTGAAAATAGGCTTATGCTGGCTTCGAACCGTGGGGCAGAACTAAAACAGAATAAGAAATTGAGAGAGAAAGGAAAACAAACAAGTAAGAAAAAGATTTTAAGAATGCAAACATCAATGACAGCAACATAAGACCACTAAAACTGCTCATCACCCCCACGATGCATCGACAACTCGAAGGAAAAATTCAATWGCTTACTATCAATCACGTGACTTTTTGGAGTTGACTGGGGGGCAAACAAGCGGTTGACTGGGGGGCAACTAGCGGATGCTAAGTCAAAACATATGAAAATAAGTCCTCAAACTATTGTATTTGACTATTTTCACGACATCAAACCAGAAAACAAGAGATCAAAACAACCTCCAGGATTCTACAAGCCATCAAAAAAGAGCTATTACCGGAAGTGACGTCTATTGATAGCAACCTATTCAGCAACGAACTTTTTCCCCGTGAATATGAAATCTAAATTTATCTTATTAATTTTTATAAATGACAGAAATTTTAACTAACTCGAAAAGTCCTTAAGCGTGATCCTCGAACGATGTGTCAGTCAGTTAAGCAGTTTTTATTGAAAAGATTATCGCATTTGGTTAAGCCCAAAAGAATATTTTTCCTGTGAATTGTCACGATTTTACTTCATCGACCACCAACGAAGAAATGAGCTGCTTAAGGGCGTTAATTAAAGCTGTAGCTAAAACGTTTTTTAGTCTTTTCTTTTTTTTTAGGCCGGCAAAACCTCGAACAGATAAATGTTTGAGGAAATTGGTGATTTACAGCTGACGTGTGGTGCTTTGGCTTTTATCGGAACGAACCTGATCAGATTGCATTTTTTAACTCATTTGTCAGTTATTTTTAATGCGTTGGTAATGTATTTACACATGTTCTAAAACATTTCTTGTTTCAAAATATTCATTATAATTTCCTGTCCTGTTCTGTCCTGTCCTTTCCTTTCTAGTCGTTTCCTGTCTTTCCCTTCCCGTCTTTTCGATTATTTCAGTTCCCATCCTTCCTTAGCTTTCCATTTTTTCCTACAAGAAACGAATCACACCACACTATTCAATCCTTAAAATGATTCAAGCCTAATTTCGCAGAAATTTATTCCCTCAGTCTTATATCTTCCCTTTTTTTTTCCCTAGCAAATTCTTTCCTCTAAAATTCAATATCGAAACATCTAGTAATTTTCTATGGGCTCTTATAAGTTCCTAATAGTGATAGTGTAAGTTATTGCCTCACTAATGAGATAATACTAGTAGTAGTAGTGCAGCGCAGCGATGTTAAGTGAGGTTTATTCATTGGTGGATCATTTTCTTTGCTCTACTATGCCCCAATTTATGGTAACTGTTCTTGTTCTTCTAGTTCGTTCACTGAATGCTTTGATACTTTTCTTAAATATTCGAGTTTATGTGACTGATTTAGGGACCGTTTCGGAAGAGCTTTATATAGGACCAAGATGAGATAACTAGCTAAAAACTAGTGTGAGCTGCGTCGGTGTTTCTAATGAAACAGTAATGATAAAAAGGTAAATTATTTACCGTGAAAAGATGAAAAAACGTTTTTTCATCTTTTCACGGTGTATAATTTATCTTTTTATCATTACTGTTTAGATACGACTAGTTAACTCTAGAGCTGAGTCGTTGGAAAAACCAGGCTAACTAAATGACGTCATTTGATTATTTCTAAAAATAATGCATTGCGTGACTACTTCTCTATCTTCTCCCCATCCCTCCCCAATATCGGAACTGCAACATCTTGATGCGCTCGTACTGGGCAAGACGAAGGCCTTATGCGACTCGTGGCTGTGTGTGAGAACGGATAATATCTGGGTTAGACGATTGGATTTAAGATACAATTAGTTTGAGGGCAGTTTGCAGAGCGTATATTATACATTACTGAAAATTTTCTATTTCTTTCCCAGTTTTTCATTTTTATTCATCCGACACTGCCAATCTTCTACTACTTCTAGTGGATTATCTAAACCCTCGTAGCTGTTGTTAAACTCAACAAACAGGTGTACAAAATTGAAGGGAAATATATTGTTTTCTGTTCTGACTCGCCGAGGTGTGAATGACTTTGAATAACTATGAGGACTTTAAAAACGCTTGCCCTGAAGCCTTCTCTCCGTAAAAATCGATATCTATGTATACGCAATAAGTTTGCTCTTTTTGTTCTCTTACTAAAACGTTATATAATACTAGAGGTATGTATATATATATTTAATCGAAAGTACTTAAAATACTTTAAAAATATTATATTTAAAGCTCCTAAGATGGTTCCATTTTTAAGAAAATATTATTTTAAGCTCCTATGATGGTTCCATTTTTACATGACAGTTTTTTTATCTTGAAAAAAATCATGATTACAATCTAGGAAGATTAGAAGTCTTGCAATAGTACCTATGCCTGAAGTGCTCAAATGATCCGCATTTCTTTGCGTAGTAGCCGCGTTTGTATAGGCCGAAATCTTATGGATTATACGCCCAAGGCGACGTTCTTCTTTCCAGTCGATTGCAATTACGATGGAACACTCCGCACTTAGGATATCTAATTGTATTTTTCTTTGATCTTTTCCCCGGGAATACGCCGTCTAGACCTGGTATAGTAAAATAATCTCTTTTTATGCACTCTAGCTTGTCGCTTGCCAGAGAAAACGGCGCCTACACTTACATTAAATAAGTTGTCGAATCATTACGAAAGCACTACGTCAAGACTTTAAATTCAAACAGGATACGTTGCCTTTAGTAAGACTTAGAAAAAAGCGCTAAAATCGATAAAAGATGCTTTTAAAGAACTTTAAAAGGCAGAGTATTACGACTCGATTAAGGCCGTAAGGAGAACAACTTGAATTTCCTTGATAACGTGAACAGCAATACGCATTAGAACTAGCTTTAAAAGCGTCCGTTTTTCGGGGAATTTTTTAATTCTTTGGATAATGCACGAGCTTTAATCCTCTTCCGATGGACGAGTAGTCTTACGCGGTCGAAGTACTCTCACTAACGGGATACCAAATTAAGGCAGTTACGATCGATGCACCTCGAGTAGAACCGTTATAAATAACACAGAAATCTTACTAACCTACTACCCTACTACCTGCTGCAATGAAAACGGTTAAAATTAAAATTAAAAAATTCCCTAATCTTTTTCTCTTCTAGATTTTATTTTATTTTATTTCTTTTTTTTTTTTTTTTACCTTGCTTTTTGACATTCAATCACCGATTTCTTTTTGCTTTTTCATCGTTTATATCCTAATCCCGTAACAGTTTTTCTATGAAAATTCTTTTCAATACATCCCATTATTTTTGTTTTCTTTTTTAATTAACGATTTCTTCGTCTAGTGGAGGCTGTGACAAACATTAAATCGCAAATTTACAAGCTGCGAATTCAAATCTAAAACAAAACTCTATAAGGAATTCACTAAATAGAGTCATAGCCATATATAGGAAGACAATGGATGTAATCAAGCTACTATTGAACAAACGCTATGCGTATTTCAAAAGCAATGGCTGTAATTACAGTTTCATTTAAAACACGTTATTAACAGCACGTCAAGGACTTATAATCTTAGTTATTTGAGCGATTATAGTATCAGCGGATGTCGGACGCCATCGCTTTGGCCACTGTCCGTTCGACCAGAATAATGGGATCACCGTTACTTTAATAGACATCAATTAGACTACGACAAGCAGTATAAAAGAATACCGTTAGCGCGGGATTTGTTTAGTTAGGGACGGTTGGCTACCGATAAGAGAAACAGACAGAGAAGAAGGTTAGTGAAGCTATAAATTCGAAAAAGATGGTAGGGATATATAGCTTTAGAAAATTGAATTCATAAACTCTGGCTACCAAAAGGCTTGCTTATCACGCTACATTAAATTCTTATCTCTCCCTACGAAAACTCTAACTTCGTGACATTATAAGGAGCTTACAAAAATAAGAATACTATGGTATTGAACAATTTAACTGTAGATAATCTACGTGAATAAGTTTGTTTTGGGGCAAAAATGATATGAAAGATTATTTGGAAAGATCACTAGATATTTAAAATGATATTCAACTATTTTTTTAGTTGGATAGTAATGAATGGTAAAAAGTATTTCAGTGATGGAGAAAATTTTTGTTTGTTTATTTGCCATTATTTTGGTTTTTATCTCAAGGAACGCCCCAAATCATTTTATTTTACTCCCGATAATACTGTTTTAGAGTTAACTCAATTCAATCTCGTTTCGAAAATATTACGAGGGATTTTTTCCCCCAGTTTTAACTCGTTTAAGATTTTAATCTAAGATATTTTTTTTTGGATTCCAAGATTCCTTATTTTTATGTCAGGTTTAATATCCAGTTTATTTTAAAAATCCTGAAATGAAATATTGTGAGAGAGTAATACTGATTCCTTTAGATTAATAATACCTACAGCAAGCACATATCAAAAAAATAAAAAATAAAAATTATCGCTTTAGTCTTTTCTTTTTTTCTTTGTATTCTGCAGATGTTGATTAATTTTCCCCCTTAATTTACAAATATCGTTCAGTTAATGAGGGAATGACATCAGGCCGCAGTACAAAAACGAGAGTGTTTTTTGTTTCCTATGAATGGTTTTATAACTAGAATCAAAAGAGCTTAATTGCTCGTGGTATTTAAGAACGAGGTTTTAATTGCAAGAAGAAATTAAAAAGATTAAGGAAGAATTAGATTAACAAACTAGATAAGACATGTCAAGGAATGAGGCGTCTTGGTAGTAAAACTGTTTGCATAAGCTTAGTATTTCTATTTTTCTTTTGTCACTAAGAAAATGTGAGATCGAAAACTTCGTAATTTTCTTGAATTTTTTTCTTCGACTGGTTCGTTCGTTCATTCGTTCCTGTCTTTTATTTTTTCTTTGGTTTCTACCTTTTTTGAAACCTCTTTCTTTCCTTTCTCCATCCCCCTTTCTCTCCGCTTTCTCTTATTAGTTATTAGTCTCAAAATGCAAAAAAAAAGAAAAGAAAAGAAAAAAAAAAGAAAAAAAGAAAAGAAAAGAAAAGAAAAGAAAANAAAAGAAAAGAAAAGAAAAGAAAAGAAAAGAAAAGAAAAGAAAAAAGAAACGAAAAT